AATTTAATTTAATTTAATTTAATTTAATTTAATTTATACCCCACCTATCTGGTCAATTTGACCACTCTAGGTGGCTTACAACATAAAAACATAACAAGTATATATATAAAGAAAAAAAAACAATATGTTCCTTATAGCCCACTCCAGTTAAGGTTAATTCACATATTGAGCCATATTCTTGATCAAATGGATACAGGAATAGCAATATTAGAATCATGTTGCCATGGGAACATGGAGAGAAATTACTTCATATATTCAGAAATTTTGAGAAGCTGAATGAGGCAGTTGTGCTTAAATAAACTCTGTGCCTGGTTCAATTCCATGTTGGTTGCCTACTGCTAACTTTCCTGAATGGTTCCTAATTAAAGATAAGCAATGTGTCAGTTTTCTGTGTATCCTGCAGGTGCTCCGAAAGTATGGCATAAATCTGTCTGAAGAGGAGTTCTTTCACATCTTGGAGTATTATGACAAAACATTAACTTCCAAAATCTCCTACAATGAATTCCTCAGAGCATTCCTTCAGTAGAAAAGAAAAAGGGAAGACTGCCTCCAATCTTGAAGAATCATTAGGCAAGGGAGATGTGATTACTGAATTATATTTCTTCATTTTAAACTAATAAAACTATATAAATTCCACCTTTTGGTTAACAATTCATCAGCAGTCTTATAATGGCAGCAGAATGCAAACTGTGGTGGTGTCTGTTGAAGTAAATCTTCAATAGTTGGGTCTATTAATTTTCTCATAATCCATTTAGCAAGGAAAACTGAAAACAATTAAAGTTGTTACAGCAGTGGATCTAAGGTTCTTAATTGGCATCTCAAAATGCAATAACTTTATTTTTTCAATTAAAGTATTATTTAGAAACAGAATTTTTAATTTAGTTTTTAAAAGCTGCTCTATTCAATTTTATTTGCTGTAATTTTCCAAATGGATTATGAATGTCTAATACATTTTTCTTCATTATTCAGAAACTGGATACCACAGAACCTAATGGCTACAATTGAGCAGACTGGGGGCTATCTAAGCTTCTTGAAATCTTCTAGGAGCAATTCAGGGAGGTGGCCCCAATTTGTAAAGCTCTTGAAGAACTTTACAGCATTGGAATATCTATAACTAAGAAGTCGCCTTTTGATTTTCTACATCCAAAGGCTATTTTGAAAGCTGGAATTGCACTAGTAAAATTGCAATTCCAGCTTTCAAACTAGGCTTTGGATGTTTCCTGGTCTTGAAAACCTGAACAACCTCCAAGTAGTTTGAACTGGTCATGTCTGATTTCGCATTAAAAGAAGGTGTACACAGGAAGAATTTCCTCATCCTATCCAGCATCCTTCATTCTTGTCTCTCAATAGCTATTTCCTACAGCACAGAGAATGCATGTGCAGAATCCCATCTGAAAGAGAAGATGCAAAGGAAACATGTTGGGCGTTTTAAAAGGTGACACTTGCCACTTGCCCTCTACAAAGAGCCTACTCAACCCGCTCATGCAAAGCTGTTTGGCAAACAGAAACTTGGCAAGAAATGAGAAAGTACATTGTAGCTTTCCCTTAACATTTGCTGAGAGCTCTCTCCATTCTGTCCATTGAGTGGGTGCCGTTGATTAACCAAAGTACATCTGGATGATACTGATTTCAGTTGGTTTTAAACCTGGTTTTGGTGTGGAAGCTGCCTTGGTCACCTTGTAGGAATCTTTGCTGGTTCTCCGGGACACCTCAGCAGCTTTCAGCACTGTTGATTATAGTATCCTTCCAAACTGGGAGTTGAAGACAACTGTTCCACAGTGCTTCAACTCCTATTTAGACAACCCATTTAAGAAGGTAGCATTGGAGAACTGTTGTTCTGCTTCTTGGGAAATGCATTATGCTGTCCCCAGGGGCAATATTCTGCTTTTTAATACCTACAGTACATGAAACTATCAGCAGAGGTTGCCTAGAGGGAGGAAGTGCCGTGATCATTAGCATACAATGACAAAGTACTATCTGTGTCTCTCAGATAAGGCAAATGAGACAATAATTATCCTGAACAAATGCTTTGATTTAATAATGGGCTGCATGAGGGCCAATAAATTGAAGCCCAATCCATGCAAGATGGTGGCACAATTAGTAAGTGATTCATATGATCACCTACTGTAAGTGGTGTTCAGCCTGGCAGGATAACATTCATAGTTTAAAGGTGCTCTTGGATCCAACTTTTTCACTTGAGGTCTACCCATCCTCAATGGCTGCAGTGCCTTTTATCAGAATCAGCTTATTTTATTTATTTATTCATTTATTAGATTTTTACCCCGCCCCTCTAGACTATGTCTACTTGGGCTAGCTTACATCGATAAAAACACATCAGTATAAAATATATAAAAGCATAGAGAATACAATTATAACAATTAAATTCCAGATGAGATATTACCAGGATGGCATGATTGAAAAGAAAAGGGAGAGAAAAAAATCACTTAGTTGACTGGAGGGAAGGCCTGCTTAAACAGCCAAGTTTTTAACTGGCTTTTGAAAATGCCCAGCGAGGGTGCCAGCCAAATTTCAGTAGGGAGAGTGTTCCACAGCCGAGTGGCCACCGCCGAGAAAGCCTGGTTTCTTTTTTTTTTCCTTTTCTGTCAGATGGGCTGAAAGACTGTTCAATTCAAAAAGAAACTGAACAATGGGATGTATTGTATAAATGGCAGCAGCTACCAGACAATGTTGGAATAACATAGAATAAAATTAAAATTAAATGATAAGATAAAAGCAGGAGGGCAATCAAACTGTGAAAAAGCAAAAAGTTGATATGTATTAGTAATATGAATTGATTGGATGATGTTATACTTTATGCTCTCCTATCCCCCAAAACCATTTTTCCTTTCCTATCCCCTCTTTCTTTCTGTATCCTCTATCCCTGTCCCTAAGTAAAATAAAATTATTAAAAAAAAAAAAAAGATATGGTCGCAGCTGGGCAATCCGCCATTGATGAAAATAGGCGGAGTGTACCATGGCTTATACAACAACTATCTTTCTGCCTAGACAATGGCAATGTGTCTATATTTATTTGTTCATGTAACATCCCTACTTGGGCCATTGCAATGTGTGGTGTGTGGAGCCACATCTGAAGATGGTCTGGATAGCTCAGTTGGTGCAATAAAGTTGAACTAACCCATTAATTATTTTTTCATTTGTAATTATCATTGGAATGTAATCATGGATTTAATTTGCAAGTGAGATATCTACAGTATGTCCAAAAAGTCTGTTGTGAGAGGTAAAAGAGGTTTATTGCAGGGCGACATCTTGTTTGATACTTAGTTCCCTCGGCTTTTTAATTTTCTTTCATTTTGATCCTTAGAGAGCTTAGTTATTTTGTTAATATCATGTGCAAAATGTCATTGTGAGTTTCTTAAAATTAGAGAGATGTTTTTAAAAATTTGGGACGTTCAAATTATCTAGATTTAAAATTTTGCTGCAGATAACAAGTGCAGAACCACTTCCACATAGAAAAGTGACATACTGAGTTGGTCCATTTATCTATCTACCGAAATATTTTCAGGTTTGACTAGCAAAAGGTCCCTTAGCTTCCAAACAGGATAACTTTATAGCTGTATTTATAGCTTCTTTCCCCACATAGCTTCTATGAAAAGCCAAAGGGAGAGCTTCTCATATAAGCTTAAAATCAGTAGCTGCCACTACTTTTCCTCCTCCACCCATTTAAAGTAAATGGCACTCCCAATTTATCAATGGATGGAGGAAATCTATTGTGATGTCTGCCCTCTTCTCCCAGATCTGGGTAGTATGATACACAATTGGGAAAAGCCAAAAATACTCCCAAACGTAAGGCTTGCTTTGCCTTCCCTTAATTGGGGAATTCTCTGGTACGTGAACCAAACAAAAGGCATTACAGACTAGATTATTTATAAGAAGAAACTAAACTTTATTACTTCTTTTTTAAAAATGTATTACACATTCAACAAGTGAATGCAAGATAGAAACATCACAAAAACAGGTCTCTGGGCACAACTTAAAAATTACAAAAATGATAAAAGAATCAAGAAATACATGCAGGCGTTTTTGGAAACCCAACACAGCCAAATAAAATCATAATCCCTGTACTTTAGTCCATGCATCTTGTCTCTCATTTCCCGTTGTCCTGGCATCAGCTTTTCCTCATGGCAAGTGGGAGAGTAAGCATTAAAAAGAGACCAGACCACAAAGGAAGCTCTTGCTGGATAATTAAAAACCTCTCTATCAGCCTGATTGGCTGATACCATTGAGTCTTTAGTAGCATCACCACTGATATCACAACTACCTTTCAGGTATGCATGTTGTAAACCAGTGGTTCTTAACCTTTGTTACTCAGATGCTTTTGAACTGCAACTCCCAGAAACCCCAGTCAGGACATCTGATCATGAAGGCTTCTGGGAGTTGCAATCCAAAACTCCTGAGTAACACAAGATTAAGAACCACTGTTGTAAACCCATAAAATACAGATTAGGACACAATGTATGTTGCTGCTTAGTGACTTGGATAAATCCACTCCCAGGAAACTCTACCTGGAGATTCCTGGTATTCCTTGATGGTATACCTTCCAAACAGTAGCCAGTCTAAACGTTTAGCTTCTAGATCAGATGAGATGGAATCCATTCAAGGTCTGATAGTGCCCATTTAGTGTGCAGTGCACAGTTATCATATTTTCTTCACTCACTGTTTGCAGGGCATCTACATGTGTTTCTTATGGCTGTACCACCTTTTCTTAGAATGCAGAAAGTCCAACTTTTGGCAGTGTTTTGGTTGTGGGATAGATCAGGCTACAAAGGTTCCGGTGAAGTATGGGGGAGGAGGGATGTGCCATTACTAACAAAATACCCTCTTTAATGCTGGGAAGTCATCATCATAGGCATCCTTCAGTCTCAAGAGACTATGGTAACATGCTCTGAATTGATGAGTGTCCTCTCCAGAGCATGAAGCCTGGGTAAAGTAATATGGAGGATAGGCTGTTACCCAAGCAGCAGATCCCCCCACTCCACATTGCTGAAATGATCCAATGGAAAGGCAAGAGCCAATACAACTGGTTCCAGCAATGTCACAGAAGTTGGCAGAATGACACGAACTGCCTTCGGGACTCCAGCTCCGGATTTTGTGTCTAGGTTAACTCTGGAAGCCTTTTCCATGAGTGGATGTAGCCGCAAGGCAATGGAGGTTTGAAATCGGAATTTTCCTTCTCCTAGATGGGCTGCCTTCCATGGCTGATGAGCCCCACCTACCCGGTCTGCTCTTTAATAGTGCGGAAGTATGATGCAACACAGAACTTTCCTGCCTCCCAGATGTGTGCAAATCTAATTGGCTTTCCTATTTACCATATTAGGGCCATAGATAAAATCGGAGAATTTGGGAATTTTGCGCGCCATTAGGCGCACGGTCCTGGGACACGCTCATTTAAAGCAGAAGGCCCCACCTCGTAGGCCCCACCTCCAGGCCATGTGTTGGGGGAGACAAAAAGAAAACCCAGGAAAAAAACTCAGCAAAATATCCATGCAAACATACCTGGCCTTCAGCCTCAGCCCAGTTTCCTAGGGAAAAAGGCCCAGGGCCCTGGGACACGCTCATTTAAAGCAGAAGGCCCCACCTCCTAAGCCCCACCTCCAGGCCATGTGGTGGGGGAGACA